TGGATCGAGGCAAAGGATTATGAGTTTCCCCACTGTTGCTGTAAACCTTTAATATTTAGAGCTTCTAACTGTGCTCTGTCCCGTTAGGTAGGGGTGAAAGCTACGCTTACGTGAGAAAAATTACTTTTCTCCGCATGGGCTTTAGCTAGTAACCTCTGGGATACATGCCTTATGTTTACGAGTGAAACATTGAGTTTCCTCGCATGGACATAGGAAAATGTATCCTCTCGAAATTGAACTTGATCCGTTTTAAGCCTATAATGGGCGAGGATCGAGGGTCTGGCAAGCCCAAGGGGGCACCAGCAAAGGACAATTCGAGGACCCTTTTAGAAATACTGAAACTCTGCCATCTTATGTTGAATCTCTGTCCGCAGCACAAAGGGGAAACTCATTCTAACTTTTCCTCGAATTTATTTTTTTTGGCAAAAAGTATGCGAGCTAGAGATCATGTGGTTAGGTTATTTTTCAAACATGCATGTGAATTAGATACCATGCGGTTAGGTTTTTTTAGGAGTAACAAAACATGTGGGTAAATATCATGTCGGGTAGGATCTACTAAAGCATGATTCGGTAGACGCCATGTTGGGTAGATACCATGTGAATTAGGTTTAGGATGTATATTTTCTATCTTCATGTGTTTGTTTATTCTTTGACATTCATTGTATATACTAACACAGTTTTATTTTTGTTTGTGTTTTATTTATTACCGCTGCATTGCATCATCATTCATGAAGAAAGGTGTTGATTCACAAGGTGGTCATAAAAGTAGAAGGCGATCATAAAATGGACAAGAGCTTTCATAACAAGGAAGTGGAAACGCAGAAGTGAGGTCGTGGTCCGAGGAAACTCAGAGGAAGAAAGGCGACAGTTTGACTGAAGATTACATATCAGTACTACCAGAGGTTGCTCCGGTCAGTCTAAAGCAAAACGATTTGCAAGAGTTACGCGAAATTTGGGAAAGTTGGAATTCTGAGGTGAAATACTCTTTCTGGCAAAAGTATGGTGACATCGCCCTTCTGTTGTATGTGAAAGTAAACGAACCCCTAATCAAAGCTCTCGTCCAGTTTTGGAATCCCGCGTATAGCTGCTTCACTTTCCACAAGGAAGACATGACTCCCACGTTAGAAGAATACACCTCCTTGTTTCATTTCGAGACGATACACTTGGACCGTATCTACTCAAAAGCCTCAAGGACCCAATCCTTTAAGAGCAAGCTCGCAAGGATTACTGGGATGGGAGAGAAGTGGGTTGCTGATCGAATCCAAAAGAAGGAGAGTCCGATTGCTTCCCTTGGTCATGCCTCAAGGAGCTTATTGTCAAGCATAGCGATATCGAGAAGAGCATGGAGATGTTCACCTTGGGAATTTATGGTTTGATGATTTTCCCGAAAGTTCTTTATCACGTGGAAGCCGCAGTGGTCGATTTATTCGAGCGTTTGGAAAGGAAGGTAAACCCTGTTCCTGCGGTTTTGGCTGAAACATTCAGAGCACTTAGCAGTTGCAGAAGAGCTGAGAGTAGCCGCTTCACCGGGTGTGTCCAGCTGCTTACTGTTTGGATACGCAGTCACTTCTGGAAAATTGACCGAGAGTATAGTCGACGGTTTTCTACGGCCTATTCACCCTTAAAAGATTTCCTCACTAAAGAGTGGCCAGAGCATCTCACCAGGAAAGATTGGGTTTCACTCTTCAGAAATTTACAGGAACATGATATAGTGTGGCGTGTCCCCTGGTTAGCTTTTGTGGATGTGTTGTACAAATGCGGGGATTCCGATTGGGTAACCCTATTAGGGTTATGGGGTGGAGTAGGATGCGCCACTGATGGTACTGAGACAATTTGGGGCACGCCAATTCATCCCAGCTACATCCGGTCTGAAGGCATCTGAATTTGTGTACTGTGGAGATCACTACAAGAAGACTGCTCGTGCAATGTCAGAGGCGTGGAAGTCAACCTTTAGAACTGATTCATAGCAGCTGAGGTCATGCTGACCCCAGACTACGTGGCATGGAGGGCGGCGCGAAAGAATGATATCCTTCCGTTGGCGGATCGTGACCAAACAATTCCTTTGGAAGTACAGTTTAAATACGTACCGTCTAAGTTGGAGATACTGAAGAGTGAATTCGAAGCGGAAATCGCCAGGAAGGAAGCGAGTGTGAGGCCCTTAGACAAAAGAATTTCATGTTGGACATCGATAGGGGGTTCTATAATACACAGTTTGAGCTTATGCGCAAGAGAAAGGATGAGGTGGAGGCCAATCTCACTAGTTTACAGAGCGATTACCAAAAAATGAGTCGAGCACGGGCAATTGCTGGCCTCGGGAGAACTTCAGAGCAGTGGCGGTTAGAGCTCCGGGCTGAGAGGGATCGCCGAGTTAGAGACGTCAGAGCCGAGAGAGAGCACCGAGTCAGAGAAGTAGAGACAGAGAAGAAGAAAAGAAATCAAGAACTTGAGTCCGAGAGAAGGTCCTGGGTTAGGGCATTGAAGAGCGAAAGGACAGAGGCTAAAGAGTTAAGACAAAGGTACACCTTGAGCAAGAAGCGAGAAGAAGAATTGCATGCTAATATTGAAGAACTCAGAATGAAGGCAAATAACATGCAACTTGAACTTGAGGTTAGAAAGCAAAGAATCGACGAGCTCGAAACTGAGAAGAGGCAGAGCAAAGAAGAGCTAAAATTAGAAAGGCAACATCGGGAGAACGTGCTCCAAGGCAAACAGGATGAAGTATTCCTCTGGATACAGAGGTGCGGAGTAAAGAACGAACGGATAGAGGTACTCAATCAAGAGATGCACGAGATGGAATCAAGGCATGAGGAAGAGTTAGCTCGAGCCAAGGCAAAGAATGAAGAGTACAGTGCCTACGTTATGCAGCTTGAAAGTTCCTTATCTGCAGAAAAAAGTCAGCGTTGCCAAGTGGATCAAAGGGTTAGCCTCGAGGAGAACGTGCTTTGCAAAAGAAGATTCATGATTTAGAGGCTGCCTTACGAAGCTGCCAGACACAAATCGCTGGTCTCGAGCGCACCGTCCAAGGCACCAGACTGCAATGGCAAAACTCAAACGATCACTTTAGAGACTGGAAGACAAACGTGAATCACGTGATCCGAGAGACCATGAATCAGTTAAGCGGCGTTGCGAGGCAGTTGGGAGAGATGGACCTCCAAGCAAAAGTCATCCAGAGCTATGCCAATCCAGCATCAGGCGTAGGAAAGAGGGTCGATTGGCTTGTCAGTCAGATAGTAGAGCTGAACATGAGAGCTAGGCCATTTCTGTAGTGGACTTTTCTTGTAAAGATGATGCTTTTGTCCTAAATGAAAGTTGTTCTAAGACTGATCGTCTTATGAATCAATGTCTTTCTGCATGCATTTGCATTTTATTTGCAATTTAAGTTTTGTATTGCATTTTTATCGCACTTCACATAATTTGCATTCATCCTCAAAGCATTAAAATTAACAATAAGGGATACATTACAGAATACTGGGAAATTTCAAGCATCACTATAACACAAGGAAGGCCATGGATGATAAGATTGCTCAAATAGAAAGAACTCAATTGCAGTTGCAAGATGATCTGAGAAAAATGCAAGAAGATATGCTTAAGGCTCAAGAGGATATGTTGTCTAAGTTGGCAAATATGCTAGGAGGGAGAAATCCAGAGCACGGAAAGGCCCATGAGCAAACAAGTGAAGAACCACTTACCCCCCAGGGTTTACCCCGGTACAGTCTCCGAATATCCAAGGAACATCTGTCCATACCAAAGTACACATAAATCCTGACGGCATGCAGTGAATCCGCAACCTGGATCTTGTTCGCATCCCGAAGAAAGCCCATATCACCAGGTCCCGGACCTTGATGAAGAAGCAAAGAAGAGCGAAAACAAGTTGTTGCAGGAGCAATATAAGCAGCTAGCAAATGAAGTACAAGCTATGAAAGAAGATACCAGCTTGTATGGTCTCGACGCTAAGGAACTGAGTTTAGTTCCTGATCTGGTCCTACCTCCCAAGTTCAAAACTCCTGATTTCGAGAAATACGACGGTACCCCAATGCCCTTCTGCCCATATCACAATGTTCTGCAGGAAAATGACTGGTTACGTAGGGGACGACCAGCTGTTGATCCACTGTTTCCAGGAAAGCTTAGTAGGCTCAGCATTGCGATGGTATAATCAACTAAGGAGAGTTGATGTCAGGACATGGAAAGACCTGGCCAAATCTTTTCTCGACCAGTATAAACATGTGAAGGACGTCAGGCCTAACAGAATGGTGCTGCAAGCAATGGAGAAGAAGCATAGTGAAAGTTTCAGACAATATGCTCAGAGGTGGAGAGAGATAGCAGTACAAGTCCACCCACCGTTGGTAGAGGAAGAAACGAACCTACTTTTTGTTAATACCTTGAAGGCTCCATTTTTCTCACATTTTGTTGGTAATCCTTCTCGAAGTTTTGCTGATATAGTTACGGCGGGAGAAATGATTGAAATGGCGATCAAAAGCGGGAAGCTTGAGGGAGGAGATTCCAGCAAGAAACAACCGATGAGGAAGAAGGAAAACGAAGTCAACAAAATAAGGCAGTATGATTCCCATAATATCACAGTGTCCCGACCACAGGGAACGGTAGCATCACCCCAAATTGACAATAGGCAGGGGGCAAGAGATCCAAGGAGAGAGAGGCCTCAATTTGATCCGATTCCCATGACTTATAAGGAGTTATTCCACGAATTATATGATCGACATGTAGTCTCACCTTATCATGTGGACCCTATACAACCCCCGTATCCCAAGTGGTATGATGCTAGTGCTAAGTGCGAATACCATGCAGGGGTTTCCGGACATTCTATTGAAAATTGTCCCGCTTTCAAAAAGGTCGTCCAAGCTCTGAGAAGAAGAAACGTCATCAACTTTGGTGACGGTGAACAGCCAAACATAGCCCAGAATCCATTGCCAAACCATGCAGGAGCCGGGATTAATGCAGTCGCTGAAGAGAAAGGAAAAACGACTGTAAAAAATGTTAGGGAGGTGATGTCACCCATGTCTTGGGTGTGGCGCCAAATGGTCAAGGTAGGACTATTAAAGACTAATCTGCCACGTGAACGTTTCAGTAACGAAGAGATGTGCCACTACCATAACTGCACAAAACACAGTATAAACAGTGTTCTGATTTCTTAGGGCTGGTACAAGAGATGATGGATAGTAAGGAAATCGAGTTCTTCAAAGAAGGGGCTGAGAAAGAAGAAGCGGAAGTTTACGCCTCTGAGGGATCATCCAAAGAGGTCTATAGTGCTAGTTGTCCCCTCGTCATTACTCCCAAGAATCGAGTGGCTGAGAAGGTAGCTCCAAAGGTGATTATTACACCTCCCTCTCCGTTCCTGTACAAAGACAATAAACAAGTACCCTGGAGATATACTTGTCGAATAGGAGAGGTGACAAAGCAACAGGAAGGGGTAGATGAAGTGGGACACATGACCAGGAGTGGTAGATGTTATCACAAAGAACCTGAGAAAAAGATTGCTGTCGAGAAAGGAAAAAGTATCGATGTGCAGATAAGAGAAGATGAACCCATCGTCAATGAGCCAGTAACGGAGAACGAAGCGATGGAATTTTTAAAATTTCTGAAACATAGTGAATACAGTATTGTTGAGCAATTGCACAAGCTGCCGGCCCGTATTTCTGTCCTATCACTTCTTCTAAGTTCAGAGGCTCATCGCAACGCCCTGTTAAAAGTTTTAAACCAAACATTTGTCCCGAAGGAGATACCACAGAAAAGCTAGACGACTAGTTGCCAACATCCAGGCCGATAATTTTTATCTTTTTCTGAGGACGAGATCCCTTCTGGGATGATTGGCAATCATAAGGCCCTACATCACAGTTAGGTGCAAAGGGCATGTTCTATCCAGAGTACTGATAGATAACGGTTCGGCGTTAAATGTGATGCCCTTGGTGACCCTGAAAAATTGCCAGTGGACAGCACCCTGATGAGAAGCTGTCAAAGTGTGGTTCGAGCTTTTGATGGAACGAAGAGAGAAGTTCTAGGCAAGATTGATATCCCTTTGACTATTGGCCCGGCGATATACGAAGTGGAGTTTCTTGTGATGGACATCATGCCTACATACAACTGTTTATTGGGAAGGCCCTGGATTCATCAGGCCGGTGCGGTTCCGTCAACGTTGCACCAAAGGATAAAATTTGCAATGGATGGGAGGCTTATATGCATTCATGCTGAGGAAGACATTATTGCTTCGGTTTTACTACTGCTCCATACGTTGAAGTGGAAGAGCAAGCTGTTGAATGTTCTTTCAGATCGTTGGAATACGTCAATGCCATGTTTGCGGCAGAAGGAAAGAAGATCCCGAAGCCTAGATTGTCAAACTGCACCAAAATGGGGCTTAAGCTGACTCTCGGAAGATGAGCAAAAACTGGCAAAGGGTTTGGACGTCGGTTGCAAGGACTGGTGGGCCCAATCTACCCTGTAACTAAAAGAGACAGGTTCGGTTTAGGGTATCAGCCAACTTTAAAAGAAAAAAATGAGAAGCATCAAGAAGATTCAGGAATTGAGAAAGGCAAGATTGACTGGTGAGGACCCAAGCTGGGAGCCCATGACATTCCCGCCATTGAGCAGCATTTTCGTATCAGGAGGATATATGTTTCAAGGGACTTTGGAAAGCAGTAAAGGGATAGTTGAGAATGCCTTGGAGGACTTGGGCATTAATGTCATAACCGATGAGGAGTTCAAAGAAATGAGAGCTATGGGCATTTACCCTGCGCCACTGGGCTTTGTGTTGAACAACTGGACTGCGGAGGAATTGCCCGTAGTTTACAAATCTTTTGCAGAGTAATACACTGGAACTCTTCCTATTGTTCATACCCTGGGACAGTAGGTGATTTGATGTAAAGGGTTAAGTTGTGTGTTTTACTTGCTTTCAATAAAAGATGTGTTTGTTAATTCCCGAATGGCAAACACTTCCTCATGCATTTTTGTTTGAATATACACATATATTATTTCTTTCTATTTGTTTATATGGGAAAAGATTCTCCCATATGTATATATGTATATATCTTTTTTCGTTATCCTTTCAGGAACTCAGATATCAATAATACGAATGCTAATGACTCTGACCCGGAGATTGATTTCGAGATGCCCATATGTCAAGGGGATATCGAAGGTTGTGATGATGATGAGGGATGTGAACCACCCTCAGAATTACTAAAGATGGTGGAACAGGAAGATGAGCAGATCCTGCCTCACGAAGAGCTTACAGAGATCTTGAACCTGGGTACAGATGAGGATAGAAAGGAAATAAAGATTGGTACCACCCTGTCTACTGAAGGGAGGCAAAGCTTGATAGAATTACTTCAAGAGTTCAAGGATGTATTTGCTTGGTCATACGAGGACATGCCAGGGCTGGATACAGAATTGGTTGTCCATAAGTTACCAATAAAGCCTGATTGTAAGCCCGTACAACAGAAACTGAGAAGAATAAGACCCGAGATGCTGCTCAAGATTAAAGAAGAAGTGAAGAAACAATTTGATGCTGGGTTTCTCACAGTGGCCAAATATCCTGAGTGGGTAGCAAATATTGTCCCAGTACCAAAGAAGGATGGGAAAGTACGAATGTGTGTCGACTATAGAGATCTGAATAGAGCTAGTCCAAAGGATAATTTTCCTTTGCCACATATAGACACGTTAGTGGACAATACTGCTGGAAATTCCTTATTCTCATTTATGGATGGTTTCTCCGGCTATAATCAAATTAAAATGTACCCGGAAGACATGGAGAAAACAACGTTTATCACTATGTGGGGGACGTTTTGCTATAAAGTCATGCCATTTGGATTAAAGAATGCAGGGGCGACCTATCAGAGGGCCATGGTGACGTTGTTTCATGACATGATGCATAAAGAAATTGAAGTCTATGTCGATGATATGATTGTCAAAGCCAAGACGGAGGAGGAACATGTCGAGAATTTGAGGAAGCTCTTCAAAGATTAAAGAAGTGCCAACTAAAACTTAACCCAAATAAGTGTACTTTTGGGGTGACATCGGGAAAACTGTTGGGATTCGTAGTGAGCCGAAAGGGAATCGAAATAGATCCCGATAAAGTAAAAGCCATTCAAGATTTGCCAGCCCCAAGAACACAGAAAGAGGTTCGAGGATTTTTGGGGAGGTTAAATTACATCGCTCGGTTTATCTCACAGCTGACCGAAAGATGTGATCCCATATTCCGCCTTCTTCGTAAGAATGATTCAGGAGAATGGAGTGAAGATTGCCGAGAGGCTTTTGAGGCAGTAAAGAGATATCTTTCGAATACTCCGATCCTAGCGCCCTATCCCAGGAAAGCCTTTAATTCTTTACTTGTCCGTTTATGACAATTCAATGGGATGTGTGTTGGGGCAACATGATCAAACTGAGAAGAGGGAGAGGGCTATCTATTATCTCAGTAAGAAGTTCACTGAGTGTGAGGCCAGATACTCACCAATCGAAAAATTGTTGCGCTTTAGTGTGGGCTACCAGAAGACTTAGACAGTATAGTTGTATCATACTACCTGGCTCATATCTAAGCTGGACCCTTTAAAGTATCTAATGGGGGTACCTGCATTGTCTGGAAGGTTAGCCCGTTGGCAAATCCTGTTGTCCGAATTTGATATCCAGTATGTAAGCCAGAAGGCAGTTAAAGGGAGCGCCATAGCAGAATTCATTGCGAGTAGGGCTTCAGAAGAATATGAACAGTTGAATTTCGATTTCCGGATGAGGATTTAATGGCTATCTCGGAGGAAGAAACAATTGCTCTTGCCGGTAAATACTGGAAGATGAACTTTGATGGTGCTTCAAACGCCTTGGGGCATGGGATTGGGGCAATCTTGGTTCACCAAGTGAAGAGCATTATCCTTTTACCAGTCGGCTCAATTTTGATTGTACAAACAATATGGCTGAATATGAGGCTTGTGTTATGGGTCTTAGAGCAGCTATTGAACTCAAAGCAAAAATGCTGAAGGTATATGGGGATTCAGCTTTGGTAATTTACCAACTCAGAGGTGAATGGGAACCAAAGATCCCAAACTTGTGGAATATCGTAAATTAGTTATGGGACTTATTGAAGAATTTGAAGAAGTGACTTTTAATTACCTCCCCAGAGAAGAAATCAAATGGCGGATGCCTTGGCTACTTTGGCAGCGGCCTTTAAGATGAACGAGCATTCAAATATGATGCCTATTGAAATGAAGGCTTATGAATATCCAGCCCACTGCTTTGACATTGAAGAAGAAGATGATGAAGGACCTTGGTACTATGATATCCCCAGTATATAAGATATCAAAGTTACCCCGAACAGGCAACTGAGAATGACAAAAGGACCATTAGAAGAATGGCAGCAGGGTATGGCTTAATGGTGAGATCTTATAAGAAAGCATGGATCAGGTCTTATTAAGGTGTGTGGACAATAAAGAAGCGAAAATGATTCTTGAAGAAGTACATGAGGAATATGTGGCACCCATGCTAATGGGCATGTAATGGCCAGACAGATTATGAGATTTGGGTATTATTGGTCAACTATGGAGATTGATTGCATCAATTATGCCCGAAAGTGTCACAAGTGTCAGATTTATGGGGATAGAATGCACACCCCTCCTCATCCGTTGCATGTGATGACAGCTCCGTGGCCGTTTCTATGTGGGGCATGGATGTTATTGGGCAAATTTTTCCAAAAGCGTCAAATGGTCATCGCTTCATTCTGGTAGCAATAGATTACTTCACCAAGTGGGTAGAAGCAGCTTCCTATGCAAGTGTTACCCAATCAACGATATGTAGGTTCTTGAAGAAAGAAATCATCTGCCGATATGGCTTACCAGAGAGAATCTCTGACAATGCGTTGAACTTAAACAACAAGATGATGAAATCTGTATGTGAGCAATTCAAAATAAAGCATAATTCCACGGTTATCGCCCAAAGATGAATGGGGCAGTGGAGGCGGCTAATAAGAACATTAAGAGGCTTATAGAGAAGATGACTGAAACTTATAAAGATTGGCATGAGAAGTTGCCATATGCTCTGTTTGCCTATCGGACTTCTGTACGAACGTCTACTGGGGCAACTCCGTTTTCTCTAGTTTATGGATGGAAGCTGTCCTCCCTATTGAAGTGGAAATTCCCTCGCTCCGGGTTTTATCAGAGGTGAAGCTAAATGAGGCAGAATGGGTACATGCCAGATATGACCAATTGAATCTGATTGAAGAAAAGAGATTGAAGGCTATTTGTCACGGTCAGATATACCAGAAGCGGATGATACGAGCACATGATAAGAAGGTTCGCCCTCGAGAAATCCACGAAGGAGATTTGGCTCTCAGGAGGATATTGCCCATTCAAAAAGATTTCCGAGGGAAATGGATGCCCAAGTGGGAAGGACCCTATGTTGTCAAGAAAGTTTTTTCTGGGGGAGCCCTGGTCTTAAACTGAGATGGATGGGTCTGAATTACCTCATCCAGTGAATTCTGACGCAGTTAAGAAGTATTTTGCTTGAAGAAAAAAGAGAAGAAAAAATGAGTGAAAATGAAAAAGAAAAAATAAAAAAAAAAAAATAAAAAAAAAAAAAATGGAAAAAAGGAAGGGTTCAAGATGAAAACTCGAAAAGGGCGTCTTGAAACCAAAGGAGGTCTCGAGTCGAAAACCCGCAAAGGGCGACTTGAGTTTTAAATTCAGAGTTCGTGCATGGTGGATAATCTGAATTGTTTTTGGAAGTAGGAAGCTCCTGACATGGGTGACGACAAGGCCATTGGGGTTGAGACCAAAGATCAATGAGTCTCGATGAGGACAACCAGAGGAGGAATTGAATGCACGTGAGATTCAATATTGGTTTATGGCATCCAATAATGGGAGATTTGGGGCTCAGAAAGAGTTTCGCACTCTTAGGTGTCATCACCATTTTGGAGGTCCTTTTGACAGAAGCTACTCGAGTCATTCTAACGGCGTGCCAGTTCAAAAGCATTTGTGTTATTGATATTTGAAGACACCTATCCTTTTGTTCTTTTCCGATTAAAAGTTTGTCATGTAGTTGCCTAAAAAATTCTTCGCATTTATATGAATAAAGAGATATTTTCCCTTCTTAATTTCCCTTTTACAAGCATCTAATCTTGAGAAAGTTAAAACGCATAGCTTAAATGGTGGTACATGAGATCATTTTGTATTATTATGCAAAAGGTTCTGGAAATGCATGTATTCTGAAGCTAGCAATGGTTTTACCCATAAGCTTGTATGGTTGGGAAAAGCTAAAACTTTGGAATTCATAGAAAATCACAGCCATTAATAGATGACCAAGGATGTTGTCATTTATCAAGAAGATTGGTCAGGGGTACTGGCAGGCCTCAAGAAAGAAAGAAGTCAAAGTCTTGTCAAGCCAAAAGTTATAGTATTGAGCACTGGGGTGAACTGGTGAAATGCTCTATGCCCAAAGCGAAACCGAGTTCCACTGAAATCAAAGGGGATATTCTTTCGAAGAAGAAGTGGATTAAATTGCATACATCGTAGGCATGAATAGGATCATGACATTGCATGATTATTTTAAATGTTTGCAGATTTCCCAACGATAATCGAAGATTGATCGAGTCTTATACTCTCTGAAGAAAAGGGAGAGACGCGATTGTTGAAGATTGTTCGAGTCTTATACTCTCTGAAAAAAATAGGGAGCAGACACGATTGTTGAAAATTGTTCGAGTCTTATACTCTCTGCAGAAATATGGAGCACACGATGGATGAAGATTTCGAGTCTTGTACTCTCTGAAGAAATAGGGAGAGCAGACGATTGTTGAAGATTGTTCGAGTCTTATACTCTCTGCAAAATAGGGAGCGACACGATTGATGAAGATTGTTCGAGTCTTATACTCTCTGCGGAAATAGGGAGCGACACGATTGATGAAGATTGTTCAAGTCTTATACTCTCTGAAAGAATGGGGAGCAGACACGATGAAGATTGTTTGGGTCTTATACTCTCTGAAGAAATAGGAGCAGACAAGATTTGTTGAAGATTGTTTGGGTCTTATACTCTCTGAGGAAATAGGGAGCAGACACGATTGATGAAGATTCTTCAAGTCCCTACTCCCTAAGAAAGAGGGAACGAACCCGTTGACAGAAGATTGTTCGAGTTCTATACTCCCGAAGAAAGAGGGAGTGAACTCGTTCGCAGAAAATTGTTCGAGTTCTATACTCCCTAAAATGAGGGAGCGAGCTCGTTTTCCGAATATTTTTAAGTCCACTATCCCAAAGTTGCAGAAACGGATTAATCTTTCGATATTTCATGACCAGACAAATTGTCCATCTATTGATCTTTGCTCTATTCTCGTTACACGACAATGAGCAAAGAGGGGCAGCTGTAGACGCTCAATTTGTCCGGGGTGTTATTCGTGTTTAATCGGGTTTATTATTGTTTTTATTGCAATTTCGGGTATTAGCATAAATTTGGTATTATGTAGTTATATATATATATACGGATAGTAATTAAATAGTTAAATAATTGAATAATTAAATATATAAATATGCCCTAAATATTGCCATTTGTTACAGGCCGAACCAAATAATTAAAATACAACAGGCTCAAGCCCAAAGTAGCAGCCCATTTGAGGATACCCTAGACCCGTTAGGGTTTCCTGTCACCATCTCCATGCGCAGCTGAGCCTCCACCGTTGGATCTGGCTTCATGATCCAACGACTCTCAATCCTCCCAGAAGCCTCCACCGTTAGATCGGGTGATCCAACGGCTCCTAACGCACTCGGAACTCCAAGACAGCACGAACGAACCAACCGGGTGCTACCCACGTGAAGTCTCTCGGGACTGTTCCCCATCGCCTGTGCCCAGGCTGCTCGCCCGTGACTTGCTCGCTCCAGCCCTGCAAACACACCAAACGAGAACAGAAAACAGAAAAGAAGAAAAATGGAAAGAAATCTAAAAACTAGAAATATAAAGGAAAAGAAGGGGGTAAGGGAGAGCCCTCGGTCATCGGCAAGGGAGAGGAACAAAAAAAGGGAAACACCAATCCCTCAGTCATAAGAAAAAAACAGAGATACAACCCAAAAAGAACACAAAAAAAAAACGAAATACCCAGCAACCAGCAACCATAGAACACAAACCCAAGGCAAGACACTTACCCTTTCGATCCAGTAACTTTCGTCACTAGAAATCCACACCCCGTCTGCGATAAGGTAAAACCTTTTGCTTCCCGTTCATTTGGAGTCGTGCATGTCGGTTTTAGGTCTCGAGCTTTAGGGATTTGGAGGGTTCGGTGTAGATTTGGTCATATGTTGGCCGGTAGTTGGATGGTGGCTCTCATCGGAGTCTTTTGGGGAAGAAAAAGGTCGCGATGGCCGTGGTTTTGTAGGTTTACTAGAGGGTGAAGCCGGTTGGGTTTTCAAGTTTAGTTTGGTTAGGTTGCCGGTTTAGGTGGTACTTGAAGGGGTTCTCGTCGGGGTCGTTTGGAGGTAGCAACCACGGCGGTTGCTACGGCAGATACCAGGGAGGTCTTGGGCTTCGTCGAGGGTTAGGAGAGAGTTTGAGGGAGAGAAGTTGAGAACGGCGGGGGGGGGGGGGATAATTTTGCTAAAATGAAACTAAAGGGAAAATGAAAATTAGGTTAAAAATAAACCAAAGGCACCTAATAGTTCAGCTTCCAAAACGACGCCGTTTGAACCCGAGCCTAGGAGAGGTTTAACCCGTCGCGGTCCCTGCAGTTCTCAACTGTTTTGTTTTAATCCCCGCTTTGATGTTGTGGAAATCTTAAATTGGGCTCTCAATCTTTATGTTTGCTACATTTTAGTACGAACCATGTTGTTTAAAGTTTTTCACAGTTTTATGTATTTGACTCTTAAATTTCAGGACATTTATTTTAGTCCATCTCGTTTGTTAATTCATATCTTGTGTTATTTATGTTTCTGGCCTGTTGTTTCGAGTTCTTTTATTTTAGCCCTATGTTTGTTGTGTTTAAATCTTGTGTCTTAAACATTCGACATCCGCATTTTTGTATGTTGCATTTTAGTCCTGAGTGTGTTTTGTTCTATTTTGTTTTTAGTCCCTTGTAATGAGAATAGTTTCATTTCAGCTCTTAGTATTCAGTACGGTATAATGCTAGCATTTCTACCTTAATTTGTATTTATTCATAAGTAGGATATTAAAGTTTAATTTAAATATAATTTTTTCTGAAATCTTATAATTGTTATGCTATGTTTTCGTTGGTTGTGTTTAGGCCATCTTGTTCATTAAGTATAGCTATGTATAGAGTGTATATATATATATATATATTTTAAATGTGTATGGGATCTTTATTGAGATATCACATTCCGAGCATGTTGTTAGCGTTCGTATATTTAGGTGTAGCTTTTATGCAGTTTAGCCTCATGTGCATGACTCGATCTAATCACATAATCGGAATTAAGGGTAAGCCCTTTTAATCTAAAATTATCAGAATGACTTTCCTTAACTTACTGGAAGGTCGTTATTGATGATTTTAAATTACAAGTGTATCCCGTCATTGTCACTAAAATTTTGATTCTCCACTTTAAAATTTGGGAGCGAAAGAAAAGGAAATATTCGACTATTTAAACTTTTCGAGAAAAGGTCGTTAGAACTGAACTAAAGATCTGGTCCCGATATTTTAAATAATCGAATATTCTTTATCTTTCTAATGACTTGGTAATTTTAAATTAAATCTATTTTGTTGCTTTGAATGTTGCAAATTTGCATGTTTGTCGTTTAAAGGGATCACTAATCAAATCAAATTTGAACTTGTGAAATTCGTTGCAAAGAAATTAATTAATCGACTAGGTACCGATTTAGGGCGTTGTGGGGGTGCTAATCCTTCCCCACGTAATCGACTCCCGAACTCAGATTTTGATAACGCAGACCTCTACTTGTCGTTTTAATTAAAATTAATTTTTATTTAAAATGACAAAATGCTTTGGGTGCCCAATCACACCCTAATCAAAGATTGGTGGCGACTCCTCGAACCTTATATTTTTACCGTAACGGAA